TGAAATTGAAGAGCGCGCCCGCAGTACTTTCACAATATCTTATGAAACAAAAATATATTAGGGCATTGTTCTCCAAAATGAAGAATTTCTTAAACATCACACTTTTTAATTACAAATTTTATTATAATCAATCAATAATGCACTGTAATACTAATTTATGCAAGGAAGGATATCCAATCACTTCTATCAAAAGTTCTATTTTGATTGAGAAAGAGTTTTGTAGAATAATCTTCTTATTTATTTATTTATGCCTAAATCATAGGAATACCTCATAAAATTTAAAATTTGATAAGTACAATAAGAAGATTTGCTCCAATTCTAAGCTATTGAAACCCCATATGCATGCTACTTTAGTATCCTTTAAAATCTAGAGTTTTATAGTTCTGAAGTTAAAACTAACCATGAGTCTAGATAAGTCACTATGGAAGAATTGTGGGGAATATTCCATGCGATTATGCTATTATACTAAAAAAAATATTTCTTATCTTCTGATTAATGAAATTTTATTTCTAGTTAGGACTTGCATTTTTTTTTTAAAGATTTTACTTGAAAAAAAATAGCCCCTTGTAACAACACTAATGTCCAAAACATAACATCTAAGATGAGCTTACATATAACGATTTTCAGTTTCATAATATATGGAATTACTTAAAAGCATAGTAAATTTATATTTTCTTGCTTCCATTAACTAACAACTATGATAATTGTTGAACAATCCCGCACAAGAATCCCCATTCTAAACACCACAATGAAGATGATTATTGGCAATCATTAGCTACCACCTCCTTTTGGTATATTCAAAATTAATTGGTGTCAAAAATTAAATTTAATATTGCACAATTGAAAGATGTCTTAATGCCTTTTGCCAACTAAACAAATAAGTATAGAAATAAATCCACAAGGCAATAACTATGTTAATGTTGAAAAAATTTCAAGTTCATTTATGTTCTTCATAAAAGAAAATCCCATTTTCTATTATATTTTATTTATTTATGTGTCAGATAAACTTTGATGAAGGGATAGTCCAGTTGAAAGAATTTTAAATGTATTGAATTTTAAATATTGAGATATTGAAAATTCTTGAATTTACTTGTCCAAAATAGAAATTCAATGTATTTGTTTGAAGAATTTGAAACTCACTCCAAATTCATTTTTGGTATATTAAAAAATAATAAAATTCAAATAAATTTTTTTTTGTGCATTATTACAATGAAACCCATCACCACGTTACCATCTCTTTAAGACGAGCTCTCATCAATGCTCGCCCCTACTATATTTTAACATGATTCGCACACACCATCAACCACAAGTCATCATATGAAGTAGATCATGAACTCCCCTTGCAAGCTCTCGTCTCCTTAACAAGACTTGTATCCCATTGACGCTTGCCTCAGCAATCTATCATGAGCTCCTCTCACAAACTTCATATGTCATAATGATCTTTTGTTGTAGCAGTTCCTTTTAGCATACCTTAGAGCTTGTCTAAGCTTACTTTAGCGAGCTCCTATCACTTCCTCTTCCTTCGTACAACATGACCTTTTCTCCTTCCCTCCCATCATGATCTTCTTCAGGATTTCAAATAAATAAAAAACTCCTAAATTTAATAATGCTGTTCTTACAATTTACACTTTTTTTGTTTTTTTTTTATGAATACTTGTTATCATATTATCTCTAAAATAATCGTATATTTGCGGCAGCCTTAAAATTTGATTTTTCTTCAAGCCTATATAACTAAATAGATAAGCTATAACTTTGTGAAATGACAACATGGATGGATATTTTCTTGTCTTAAACAAGCCAGTTCATTGAACTGTAAATTTGCTGTGCGCGACAAGAAAGTTCGTCCCTTTTTGAAACGTGTGTTTATATTAAATAATTGCTTGTATCGAGGATCTCTCTCGAATATATCAATATTAATTGATGATGAAGCTAATGGTCCACACCAACCTTCTTGTCGCCAACATCAAATACCCTACCCCGAGTAGCACAAGTCCAGATAGCACACAAGCATTTAAAAAAATTGATTGGTACACTTAATTTTTTTCGAAGCAAATTAAATTATTGTTACATTTGATTATTAATACATAATAATGTGGATTAGCGTCAGCATACAGCGAAATATATTAATTTTTTTATCAAATGCATTTAAAAAATTATAAATTTTGCCTTATGTTGTCACTTACGAGTGACCTTAGTGTCTCATGTTAAGAGTGTTATTTATGTATGTAATACACACACAGTTCTATGTGCGTTTTCCACGAAATAATCTTCTAATAATTTAGTTATCAGAGGTTTTGAAAGGTTATTGAAGTATAACCTCTCAATAATCCTCTAATAACCTACTAAAACATTCTGCGGTTTCGCGCTCATATTTACTGCTGTTATTCAGAAGTTTTGTCAGACTATTGTGGCTATTAACCATAATAACGCCAACATAACCCTCCAATGCCTCCCGAATAAATTTTATACTCGCACACTTCTACGTGCGTACTCAGTACGTAAATATTTTCCCTTATTATGTTATGTCGTGAGGATTGTCAAAAGACGTGCTTAAACCAATCAAACCTGACGGCTTTGCCATGTCTAGCTTAAAACTTTGTAAAGGCTAGCCTAAAAAAGAACAGTTATATATTTTTATTGAATTATTCAATGCTTCAATGTACAAGAACATACGAGAGAAAAGAACAAAAATTTTTTGATGATTTGTTCTTTCAAATAGATAAATGAAAATCGATCGCTATAACATGAATATTTTATTTTTTTTATTATTATATTATGTCAAATTTTTAACAAAAATTAAAATTTAAACGCGACTTTTGAAGTTTTCATGCAGACAAATGCACTTGAAGCGAGGACAAAATATTACATTAGGACTCCGCAAGTAGAGTTAAGTGCGGAATCCAATAAAATCCACCACACATGTAAAGGTGAGAAAAAAAAAATCGGCCCGATAACACTGGGGAATATTCCTTTCGTGTTATTCAGGTGTTATTGTGTGTTATTCAAGTGTTATTGATGTGTTATTATGTTATTATAATATCAAGAATATTCTCAAAACACTAACACATGAATAACATACAATAACACCTGAATAACACGGGAGAATATTCCCCGTGTTACCTGTGTTACCGGGAATATTCTCATGTGGTGTGATTTCGTTGGACTTTGCACGTAACTCTACATGTGGAGGATGTAATATTTTTTTCTGAAACGAGAGGCGGATATAGAAAAATTTTTTAAATACATGCATTAATAAATTTTTTAATGTTGAATATTTTGTTTTGAAAAAATACGGTATATTTTGTTATAAAATAAAAGTGCACTACATATGAATTTCCTTGAATTTTATTTTATGCACATTATAAATTACATTTTTTTGATAATTTATAAGTTCATTCTTTTCTAGATGAAATATTTTTATTTAGATATTTAAAATAAATCTTAGCCAAAATAAATTTCAAAATTATTATAATTTATTTTACATAAATACATTCATAAAAAAATATTTAATAAAAATTAATATTACAACAATCATATAAAAATTTAAAAATTAGATGTTCATTTTGATTAAGCATTCATTACCTAAAATTTTTAAAAAAAAATTATGCGATATCATAGGACAGCTATTCAAATATAAAAAACATTGTATTATAGCATGTTATATGCTTTAGTCCCATATCTATAAATTAGACTGTGAAGCTAATCATTAAATTCAAAAGTTCCACTAAACAAAAAATGTTATGACTAAATTTTGGACTAGTTGATTTTGTTGCACTTTAATTAACAATGTAAACAGAATTTTGAAATTTAACTTGTAGTTTTCTAAAATTTAACAACTAATTAACAAACTTGGCACGTATCTTTGTTGCCGAACAGCAATAGCTGGCGGCATGCAGCTAATTATTGGGCCAATCAAGTAGGGTACGGTCCCCGGAGCCACCAATGTGGCTTCCCAATGCTTGAAGAGGCTATATATATATATTGTATATATATATATATATATATCTCACTATGAAAATAGCGAAGTCAGGCTATTTAATAAGAGAGAAATATCAAAATTTGAAATATTTGAAGTGAATGAAATAGCATACTGCCTAAATTTGACGTAATTCTCTTCAAATATTTGATATATGTCTAATTTAGGCTATTTTGAAAATTTCCATATTGAATTTGACATATTTTAGGCTATATTTAAACTAAAAATAAGCATACTGAATTTGACGTAATTTAGGCTATTTTGTGTCAAATTATAAGCATAGCGGCTTTTTCAATATATGCTAATTTAGGCTACTTTGAAATTTTCAAATTTTGAAGAGAATTATGTCAAATTTTTTGCGCATTGATAGTCCACATTTGACATAATTTGACAAAAAAATAGCCATCTAGAATAGAATATTTGAAGAGAATGAAACATCAAAATAGCCTAAATTTTAAAAATATTTCAATAATTTTGAAATTCATCTTCTCCTAAATAATATTTGAAGTATGCTTTGAAATATTTTATCTTCAGATCCTTATATATATATATATATATATATATATGTATTTTGGAGAGACTCAAATTTCGATTTCTCATACGTTTTTTGGCCCCACGATGAGAGCTTGCGCCATGTGTTTAAAATTTCAGAGCCTCCGCGCCACGGTTGGATCAACCCTTGACCTGAGTAGACTTACAGTGATCCCGCCACCACAAATCAATGCTTACGACACGAGCGTGCACACACATATATATATATATTAATATATATATGCGCGCGCTATGTAGTCATATCATACGTGATTAAGCATTAAATCTCATACCACTCAAGTAATTAATATAAAAAATTGTCATACAATTTAAACTATTCTTGTATTTAATTTTGCCAATTCAAAATTTTGTTTTATTTAATTTTGCATGTAAATTTCTTTTCTAATCTTTTTATAGGAAAACCTGGCGCTTCTGAAGGAGATGCAAACTCAGTGCACACGAGGAACAATCCTGGGTCGTGATCAGTACGCGTATGAGCTATGGAAAGAGACAGTTCGGGGCAAGAAGGAAGAAAGAAGTAAGTCATGGATTGGGTTCATATGCAGAAGCGTGCAATGCTCGTTGCTCTTTTTGCACATTCAATATATTTACTTCCACCGCTTATAAGGATAAGGTTTATAGGGAGGTTGGCACATTCAATTTTAATATAGAGACCCAATTTGCTGCTAAGCTCGATGAAATGAAGTATGATTTAAAAGCTAAAAATGAAAATAAAATTAGAAACATTGTGACATCAGACACAACTAAGAGAGAAATAACATGAAAAGGAGGAGATCAAGGAGAAGAACGATGAGGAGAGAGATGATGACTATGATTGTTTTTATTTATTTTTGTTTTATAAGACATTTGAATATGTTATTCTTCTGTACTTGTTTAAATCTCTAGTTCAATGAATTCTGATTATTTCTATGTTTAATTTGTGCGTACATTCATGTGACTTTAGTTTAATAATTGATTGATTGATAAACTAGATTTTGCAATATATAATTGAATTTATATGTAAGATATGATTGAAGGTGTGAAAATTATAATGAAATAATGAAAACTCTTCTTATATATATTTTATATTTACAATTTTTCAGCAATTATCCGATGGCCAAGCAATGGACTATCGATGCACAAAAAATGATGAATAGTTTTGTCAGATACTTACACTGATGGATAATTGAAATGTAATTGATGACTATTTATTCGACATGAACTGACAGGTTGTACCTATTGGTTTTTCAATTGACGGTTAATTGTTAGCAAACTAACAACTGTGATTTTGATATAAACCCAAAGGTAGTGCCCGTCGAATGCCAAAAATTGCAAACAAAGTCGTTGTTTCTTAGATTAATGACAAGTGAAAAGGCAATGCGCTATTGACCGTCGAAAAACAATGAGTTTCTAATTAACCAATGATTTTTTAAAAATTTTCAACCTTATTTAGAACATGGAAATAGTTTAAATTCCAATATATTAGGGAGGTTGCTAGAGTTCGCGTCTTTCATGGCAGAGGTAAGGAGATGGCTGGAACATCTTTTGTTGAGATGGTAAATCGTAGCACAGAGGTTAGTAAGGTGGATTCCAGGAACTATGTTTTCACTGAAGAGCATCATGATGCATTGGAACGTATGGGTGATAATCTATTTGTAAGAAAACATGAGAGGAAGATTGGTAAGTCAGCTATTTTCTTATCTGAAAATTATACAATTTCATTATCGTTGTCTTGCAAGTATGTGTTAGTTGGCAAGTTTCTATATGACCATCCTAAAATGGAATGTATATGAAGTTTTCTTGATGTTTTGAAACTCTTGGGAGAATGGAAAGTGGGAATACTTGATTGTAGGCAAATTTTAATCCATGAGCAAGGAGGACTATGTTTGGCTTTTTGCAAAGAAATACTTAAAGATTGAAAATAGAAGCATCAAGCTTCTCAAATGGCCTGTTAACTTTGGCCCTCAAACAAAACCCTCTATTTTTCTAATTTTGTTCAAATTTTATAGGCTGAAGTTACAACTATTCAATCATAAAATTTTATTTTCTCCGGGTACAATTTTTGCGAGGCCAATCAAGATTGATGTTCCTACATTTAACCTTGCATGCTCATCAGTTGCTAGGGTGTTAGTTGAAATAGATAACACACAAAAAGTTGCTGATGAAATTTTCGAATGTTTAATTATATATGTTAGAAAATTGTTACATTCTACACCCTAAATTTAAAATGCAAACAACTCCACACCCTC